TACATTTTGGCCTAAATTTATGAAGAACAATTATTTATTTGCAAACTTTTATAACAGAAACAAAGAAAAAAGTGTTTTTGTTTTCAAAAATGTTGGTTTTTTTTGTTAATTTAGCAAAAAATAAAAACCCCAGTGGTGATTAAATACCACCAAAAGAAAGCTCTAGTTGTGTGAAGAAAATGATAAAATTTTAGTTTGGGTACAATGTTGTCATTCAAAGTGTGAGGGCGCTGAAACCTGAAGATTGGCCTGGGCAGGAAGGGGGTAAAAGTGCCCGGTATGGAAGTGGTTAAAAACAGAAATTAAAAAAAAAATGTCATCACTGATTCATGTCTCTCAGGGCAGTACTTGAGTCCCCAAATACCTTTTGTTGCCAATAACCTGCATATAAGCCTTCAAAATGCATACTTTTGAATTTATAGATTTGAGTCCCATAGATTTGCATTGAGTTTGAAGTTATTATTATTATACAGTATTTATATAGCGCCAAAGGGTTTGCTCAGCGCTGCACAATAGCAAGGGGGACAAAAGTTGAGTCGAACGTTTGTTAGGTTTGAATGTTTGACTGCGAACTGAACAGGGGGGTGTTCGGCCCATCACTAGTGAAGATACCAATCCCCACAGTCTGTTTTATTCCAGTAGTAGTAGTGTGTGAAAGCAGGCTGTACTTGGCCACTCCTCTAATTACCTCTTTAGTCACAAAACTTCTTTTGAACCAAGCTGCATCATCTTTTGGGGGTTTTTTTGCAGTAAAAACTGTGCCCTGAGAAATATTTGGACCCTGCTAAATGTGTCCAGGGCAGGCAATGGAGGCGGGCTGTAGTCAGGCAAATCTAATAGCAAGCTAGGTGATGCAGCAGTGAAGAGTCAATGAAGTAACTTTACAGTCTACTCTGCCCCTCAATGGTAAGTCATGTCTTTATATAATCATGACTCTAGGCACCACCCTCCTCTTTTCACTGGCTACAGTGTTATAGGGGTAAAGGGGAGGGGTCTTCTACCTCTAAGCCTAACTGAGATGGGGAAAGGTTTTAAATAACAAATGCTGGAAGAAATTGATTGTACCCAGGGGCGGACTGACCATTTGGAAACTTGGGCACTGCCTGAGGCCCAGGGTCAGTAGGGGGCCCTATGAGATGCCCCTGGTAGCTTTTTCATAAGCTTTTTTGAGTTTGGGCAAGGACACAGGGGCCCCATTATCCCCTATTGCCCGGGGGGCCCCATGAGTTGTTAGTCCGCCCCTGATTGTACCTCAATTACACCCCTTTGAGGGAATGCCAGACATAGATACACCATCTGCCTGCTTATAGATTTGACCCTGTGACCAAGCATCAGTTAGTAGTCCCATAACCCAAGCCTGTGATGACTAGTTAGTGGAGCAGCAATGTTTTGGTAATTGCAAGCTTTATGTATAAAGACCTGTGGGTGACATTTTCATGCACACATTGCTACATACCGAAAAGGGCAAAAGCAACCTTCATGAACACTATATCCTGGCCTACACCTAGCTTGGAACAGAAAAGTATATCTCTGAATGCCTTCCTCTGAAAATCTCTCTCTTAATCCCCAAGTCACCACCTGATGTACTGTACATGCTTTGGTGCATTTTTGATTGCCATCGCAATGCATTTTTTCCCTTGCCCTACTTACTGTAGCATCATTTCCTGTCCTGGGTTTCATGAACCAGTCCAAAAGGTTTGTTAGCATATGAATATCCATATATGTAACTAAAATGTTATTCCATATATATCTATGCTAAAAAAAATCACCAAATAAACCATAGCAACACAACATACCACAATGCATGCTATGCAGTTCAGTGTGCTGCAATAAAATGCAAAATGCTCTACACTTTTGTGCATCTTACTGGCTCTGAAGCCTCCTTTTGACACATCATCAATTGCCAGTTTTATTGGTTTTGAGTTATTTCCGGGCTCCACAAAATAAATTGGTTTGGACCAGACTTACACCAAAACAAACATACTGTAGATAATAAATGTATACATTTCATTTACACTATATGGTCAAAAGTTTATGGACACCAGGCTTTCATATCTACGTGAGCTTGTTGGACACTCCATTTCAAAACCATGGGCATCAATATGGAATTGGCAACCCCTTTGCAACTATAACAGATTCCACTCGTCTGGGAACATTTTCCACATGATTTTTGAGTGTGTCATTGGGAATTTATGCCTATTCAATCAAAAGAGCATTTATGGTGTCAGGTTCTGATGTCAACCAAAGGCTCACTATTGATGTTTCAATTCATACCGAAGGTGCCCAGTAGAGTAAAGGTCACTCAAGTTCCTCCACAATAAACTCATGAAACCATGTCTTTATGGAGCTGGTGGGCACAGTTAACTGGAACTAAAAAAGGCTTTTTCCAAACTATTTCCACAATGTTGGAAGCGCGCAATTGTCCAAAATGGCATTGTACGATATAGCATAAACAGTGCCCTTCACTGGTAACACAAACTCAATTATCAGGAGGGGTATCCATGTACTTTTAGCCATATAGTGTATTTTACAAAGCAAAAAACAGACCAAGCACATTGTACTTTTAGAAATACATTTTTTATGCAAGACTTGCATGAACAAATGGACCCCAAGGTAGTGGTATCACACAGGCTGAAAATTAATTTGAGCGGATGTCTTAAAAAAAAAAAAAAAATGAGGGGTGAAATATTTAACATGGCATGGAAAGTGTTCATTTAATAACATCCCTATGAAGTTAAGCTTCCCAGGAAATGTATAATGAATCCTTAGCATTTCGCTAAGGGCAATGCAGTATATTTCATCCATGGCTTTTCTTTGCACCTAATCTGTCCTGACCAGATTTTTCTAACATTTGCACACTATTAGTATGTCAAAGCAAGGGAATCATTCACAGCAGAGGCCAGGGGATGAAAACTATAATTAAAATAATTTATAATCATTGTAGGGTTACTTGACTTCTTTCCCATACATGACAGGTGTTGCTGAGAGATGCAAGTTTTGCGCTCAGTGAAAGCCTAATGTGGCCAATCAAAACACATACTTTAAGGAAGTACAAATCCTAAGCATTAGCTGGTTTCCTAAACTACAGTTTTATGATCATGGTAGGAAATCACTAGATAGCATTCATCCGTTACTGGTCATTTTTAATATTTTCTTTTATTGTTTTAAATAACCAAAGATTTCAACTTTCATTTTCCAAGGCTGGCTTTAACCTAACTGGTGGCTTTAGAGAAATAGCAACAGTAATGTTGGTACCCACAAAAGTTTAAGTCCAGGCTCTTTGATTGTTCTATAAAAATCAAAAGCATGTTCGGGAATCTCTTTTTTTAAAACCTTTCAACAATTGGAAAGGGCAAAAATGTTTCATTTATTTTCAATGTGTTTTTATCATGTGGTACGATCAAACAATTTTCTTATTCTCCAAAGAAACCTTAATCTCTTACCTAATGTATATTGTGCAATTGGTGTGTGTTTGTGTGTAAAGGTGTATTTTATTTTTCTCTTAAATTTTTAAAGTTTATTTTACTTCATGATTTTTAAAATCTGTTTTAAACGTATTTTTTAATTAAAAGCATTGTACACTTTCAAATGTTTTCAATGTTTTTATAAGTAGGTATTAGTGTAGTAACGTTCCCTGTGTTGTTTGTTTTATCTTGCCTTGTAATGATGGGCTCACATGTTATGGCTGCAGGTTGTAGTGTCATGGCTGATTGATTCCCCTTTGTTCATGTATTGCTACAGCTAGCCTTTCCCTATTCACCAGAGGGATAGGAAAACTTCTTGTTCCATGTCACATAGCATTCAATGCTTGCTTCGCTATTTACCCTGTGGCTTCACAAATGTGGGAGTGCTAATCTGATAAAAGCACATCCCTTTTAGCATGGTGAGATCTCAGTAACTTCTCTACATGTTTGTGTTTGTGTCAGTTCTAATTACTATTTAGCTCTCACCTGCACAAGCCTGAGAGAACCAGGTATTGTGGGATGTGTAGTTTCATCACAGGAAGTGTCAATTTTCACACTACGGACAAAGGTCATGCATTGACCTGTGCAGTGCCATGCTGAATGCCTCATGTTTGAACACAAAATAAAAATTTCTGGGTGGAAAATGTGAAGATTTACTCTATTATAGACTATGTTTGTAGGGCAACCAATGATACCATGAAATTACATGACCATAGACATTTGCAGATCTGTTAGACTCTTAGGGGTTTATTTACTAAAGCTGGAGAGCCCAAAATCAGACTCCCTTCTGCATAGAAACCAATCAGCTTCCAGGTTTCATTGCCAAAGCTTCATTGAACAAGCTGAGGTTAGAAGCTGATTGGTTTCTATGCAGAAGGGAGTCTGATTTTGGACTCTCCAGCTTTAGTAAATAAACCCCTTAATGTCTCCCAGCGTTTAGCAAAAGCAGATTGGGAACAGAAAGTCCCTCATCTGCTATTATACCTGGACAATGATGGCCTTGATTTAGCAGCTATGAGCCCAGAAGTGCTCGGAGCTGGGGACTTCCAGGTTCACTCTCTGGAACATGAAAATGGAAATTCCTTTTAATTTTTGGAGGTCCAGTGCTCCCAGGAAAATTATTTGAGTGAGTCAGGAGGGGACGGCACCCTCATCATCACGTTGGAGTAATTGGGTGGCTTTAGTCACACCTAGACCACCTCTACAAAAAAAGCCCAACATACCTCAGTTTTGGAGTGTACTAGGAAGTGACTCATTTACTTTTATCTTAAAGATTCTCTTTAACCACTTGCCTACAGGGCACTTATACCCCCTTCCTGCCCAGGCCAATTTCCAGCTTTCAGCGCTGTCACACTTTGAATGACAATTGCACGGTCATGCAACACTGTACCCATATGAAATTTGTATCATTTTTTTGAGACAGATAGAACTTTATTTTGGTGGTACTTAATCACCTCTGAGGTTTTTTATTTTTTCTTAAACAAACCAAAAACCACTGAAAATTTTGAAAAAAAAAAAGTTTTTTCTTAGTTTTTGTTATAAAATTTTGTAAATAAGTGATTTTTCTCCTTCACTGATGTGTGCTAATGAGGCTGCAGTGATGGGCACTGATAGGTGGCAGTGATGGGCACTGATGAGGAGGCACTGGTAGGTGGCACTGATGAGCATTGACAGGCATCACTGATGGGCACTGAAAGGTAGCACTCATATAAGGCACTGATAGGCAGCACTGATAGGCGGCACAGATAGGCGGCACTGACTGGCACTGTTAGGTGGCACTGATAGGCGGCACTAACTGGCACTGTTAGGTGGCACTGGCTGGCACTGTTAGGCGGCACTGATAGGCAGCACTGACGGGCACTGATAGGCGGCACTGACTGGCACTGATAGGTGGCACTGACTGGCACTGATGGGTGACACTGAAAGGCAGCTCAGATGGGCACTGATATGTGGCATTGATGTGCACTGGTAGGCACTATGTGGCATTGATGTGGCACTGATGGGCACTGGCAGGTGGCATGGATGAGCACTGACAGCTGGCACTAATGGACACTTACAGGTGGCACTGCTGGGGATACACAAATCATCAGGGCACAATGATCATCAGTGCCCTGATGATCAGTGCACATGTCCCCTCTGAGGGATGCCGATTACTGGCTCTCCTCTCAAGCTGTCAGCATGACAGCTCGTGAGGAGAGAAATGCCGATAACCGGCATGTCCCTATTTACATGCGATCAGCTGTGATTGGACACAGCTGATCACATGACCGAGTCGATATCTTCGGCTCTTTCCGTTGATCGGTGATCCGCTGTGCCCGAGGGACACAGCGCACCACCGATCGCCGTGCTGCGCGCTCGCAGATCCGCACATGCGCGGTTAGAATGGGACAATGTCATATGATGTCCTCCCAGAACGAGAGAACCGCCTTGCGCCCGTCATTGTACTATATGACGGGCGGGAGGTAGTTAAGAGCAAAGAAATATGATCCTATTAAATATTTCAATGAAAATAATCCTAATTTTGATCATAAATGAATTGATTCTAATAAAATATTGATCATTTATGTTGCAAATTGCAGGAAAATGCTAGAAATTATATAACAATTTGTCATCAATCCTAAGAAATAAATCAGTAAAGAATACATATGGCGTGGCCTGTATTAATAATGACTGATACTTGATGGCCTTGTTTCTGCATGTTGTAGTCATATTACTGTCCAGTTGAAAGGAAAATACAGAGCAGATGGCCAGAACCAAACAACCTAAGGGTATAATAAACCTTCTGGCATGTTTTCTTTGGGAGCTGGAAATGCTTAAAACACAATTCAAGCCAAAACTTTTTATTTTATTTTTGGAGAGATTCAGGCAGGAATTTATTTGAAGTTTGTATTGCTTTGAAAAAGTATTCATACCTCTTGAAATTTTCCACATTTTATCATCTTACAACCAAAAACATAAATGTATGTTATTGGGATTTTATGTGACAGACCAACACATAATTTTGGAGTGGAAGGAAAATGATAAATGGTTGTCAAAATGTACAAATAAATATCTGAAAAGTGTGGCGTGCATTTGTATTCAGCCCCCCTGAGTCAATACGTTGTAGAACCACCTTTCACTGCAATTACAGCTGCAAGTCTTTTTGGGGATGTCTCTACCAGCTTTGCACATCTAGAGAGTGACATTTGTGCCCATTTTTCTTTGCAAAATAGCTCAAGCTCTGTCAGATTGAATGGACAGTGTCTGTGAACAGCAATTTTCAAGTCTTGCCACAGATTCTCAATTGGATTTAGGTCTGGACTTTGACAGGGCCATTCTAACACATGAATATGCTTTGATCTAAACCATTCCATTGTAGCTCTGGCTGGATGTTTAGGGTCGTTGTCCTGCTGGAAGGTGAACCTCTGCCCCAGTCTCAAGTCTTTTGCAGACACTAACAGGTTTTCTTCTAAGATTGCCCTGTATTTGGCTCCATCCATCTTCCCATCAACATCATCTTCCTTGTCCCTGCTGAAGAAAACCATCCCCACAACATAGTTGTGCACTGGAGAGATTGTGTCGTAAAACCAAATCTCAGCAAGCATTCGCCCTATATAAATCTGCTTTATTAACATGCAATTCCCTCCATGCTGCCATACAAGCCTACTTTGTCACTCTTATTGATACCTTGTCATCCAGCCCTCGTTATCTCTTCTCTACTTTTAACTCTCTACTTTCTCTACCTCCACCCAGTAACTCACTCACTGCTTACAAGATTGCAAATAATTTCAAAAACAGGATTGATGCAATTAGTAGGGGCCTATCCACTACATAGACATCTATCCCACTTGGCATATCTTGTACTAAACCTCCCTCAACATTTGTCTCTTTTGACCTTGCTACTGCTGAAGAGGTCACTAAAGGTTTCTCAGAAGCCTACCTCACCACCTGCCCCCTGGATCCTGTCCCCTCTCAACTACTACAGTCACCCTCTTCTTCTGTCCTATGCTCCCTCACTCACATCTTCAATCTCTCTCCATCCAATGGCACCTTCCCCACCCCTCTAAAGCATGCACAGAGCACTCCCATACTTAAAAAGCCCTCGCTGGACCCCACCAACCTGAACAACTTAAGCCCCATCTCCCTGCTCCCGTTTACCTCTAAACTCTTAGAAAGCTTAGTCTACAATCGCCTGAGCTCCTACCTCACTGACAACAACCTTCTTGATCCCTTACAGTCTGGCTTTCACTCACTACACTCTACAGAGACTGCCCTACAAAAACTCACTAATGATTTACTAACTACTAAAACTAATGGCCACTACTCCATACTCTTACTACTTGAACTGTGGCTTTTGATACTGTTGACCATATTCTCCTCAAAAAACTCCACTCTTTTGGCCTCTGAGATTCTGCTCTCTCCTGGTTCTCCTCCTATCTATTGAAGCGCTCCGTCAGCGTTACCCATAACTCTGCCTCCTCCTCTCCACCTCCTCTTTCTGTAGGGGTCCCTCAAGGTTCTGTCCTTGGACCCCTTCTTTTCTCCATCTACACCTCCCTTGGTCACTTAATAAACTCTCATGGCTTTAAGTACCATCTCTATGCTGATGACACACAAATCTATCTTTGTACTTCTCACCTCGGCCCTGAAGTCTCATCTCGCATTACTAACCTACTAAGTGACATATCAGCATAGATGTCACTCCACTTCCTCAAACTAAGTCTTTACAAAATTGAGCTCATACTATTCCCTCCAGCCCGTGCCCCCTCCCCTGACTTCTCCATCAAGATCTTTCAGCCCCAGATCCAATCGCTGTCCAAATCTTGTAGACTTCACCTATGCAACATCTCCAAGATACGCCCGTTCTTGCCCTCTGAAACCACTAAGCAACTTATTCACTCCCTTGTTATCTCTCACCTTGACTATTGTAACTCCCTCCTCATTAGCCTACCTAATCTCAGGCAATCCCCTCTTCAGTCTACCATGAACCCTGCTGCTGCCAGACACATCCACCTTACTAACCGTTCCATATCTGCCTTGCCAATCTCTCCACTGGCTTCCCATTGCCCAACAAATAAAATTCAAACCATTAACAATAACATATAAAGTCATTTGTAACTCTGCCCCAAATTACATCACCAATCTGATCTCCAAATATCACCCAAACCGTACTCTCCGCTCCTTGCATGACCTCCTGCTCTCTAGCTCCATTGTCTCCTCCTCCCATGCTTGTCTCCAAGACTTCTCCAGAGCCTCCCCCATTCTCTGGAACTCTCTACCAAAATCTTACTATTGCCTATTCTGCCCACTTTTAGGCAATCTCTGAAAACCTATCTATTCAGGGAAGCCTATCCTGCCTTTAGCTAATAACGGAATCTTCTATTCCTCCTATCAGTTCATCCCCCACAGTTATTGCCTTTTGTACCACCAGCCCCTTCCTCTTAGATTGTAAGCTCCAAGGAGCAGGGCCTCCTACCCTCTTGTATTGCACTGTATCGTTGCTGTATTGTCTCCCTTTATATTGTAAAGCGCTGAGCAAACTGTTGGCGCTATATACAGGTGAAACTCGAAAAATTAGAATATCGTGCAAAAGTTCATTTTTTTTCAGTAATGCAACTTAAAAGGTGAAACTAATATATGAGATAGACTCATTACATGCAAACCAAGATAGTTCAAGCTGTGATTTGTCATAATTGTGATGATTATGGCTTACAGCTCATGAAAACCCCAAATCCACAATCTCAGAAAATTAGAATATTGTGAAAAGGTGCAATATTCTCGGCTCAAAGTGTCCCACTCTAATTAGCTAATTAAGCCATAACACCTGCAGAGGGTTCCTGAGCCTTTAAATGGTCCCTCAGTCTGGTTCAGTAGGAATCACAATCATGGGAAAGACTGCTGACCTGACAGTTTTGCAGAAAACCATCATTGACACCCTCCATAAGGAGGGAAAGCCTCAAAAGGTAATTGCAAAAGAAGTTGGATGTTCCCAAAGTGCTGTATCAAAGCACATTAATAGAAAGTTATGTGGGAGGGAAAAGCGTGGAAGAAAAAGGTGCACAAGCAGCAGGGATGACCGCAGCCTGGAGAGGATTGTCAGGAAAAGGCCATTCAAAAGTGTTGGGGACTTTCACAAGGAGTGGACTGAGGCTGGACATGGGCTTCAAATGTCGTATTCCTCTTGTCAAGCCATTCCTGAACAACAAACAACGTCAGAAGCGTCTTAAAAGGGCTAAAGAAAAACAGACCTGGTCTGTTGCTCAGTGGTTCAAAGTCCTCTTTTCTGATGAGAGCAACTTTTGCATCTCATTTGGAAAGCAAGGACCCAGAGTATGGAGGAAGAATGGAGAGGCACACACTGCAAGATGCTTGAAGTCCAGTGTGAAGTTTCCACAGTCTGTGTTGATTTGGGGAGTCATGTCATCTGCTGGTGTTGGTCCACTGTGCTTCATTAAGTCCAGGGTCAATGCAGCCATCTAGCAGGAGATTTTGGAGCACTTCATGCTTCCTTCCCCAGACGAGCTTTATGGGGATGCTGACTTCATTTTCCAGCAGGACTTGGCACCTGACCACACTGCCAAAAGCACCAAAACCTGGTTCAATGACCATGGGATTACTGTGCTTGATTGGCCAGCAAACTCGCCTGACCTGAACCCCATAGAGAATCTATGGGGCATTGCCAAGAGAAAGATGAGAGACATGAGACCAAACAATGCAGAAGAGCAGAAGGCCGCTATTGAAGCATCCTGGTCTTCCATAACACCTCAGCACTGCCACAGGCTGATAGCTTCCATGCCACGTCACATTGAGGCAGTAATTGCTGCAAAAGGGGCCCAAACCAAGTACTGAGTACATATACATGCTTATACTTTTCAGAGGTCCGATATTGTTCTATGTACAATCCTTGTTTTATTGATTGCATGTAATATTCTAATTTTCTGAGATTGTGGATTTGGGGTTTTCATGAGCTGTAAGCCATAATCATCACAATTATGACAAATCACGGCTTGAACTATCTTGCTTTGCATGTAATGAGTCTATCTCATATATTAGTTTCACCTTTTAAGTTGCATTACTGAAATAAATGAACTTTTGCACGATATTCTAAATTTTCGAGTTTCATCTGTAAATCCTGTATAATAATAATAATAATAACGATGCTGCCGCCACCATGCTTCACAGTAGGGATGATGTGTTCAGGGTGATGTGCATTGTTAGTTTTCCGCCACACATAGTTTACTTTTAGGCCAAAAAGTTCAATTTTGGTCTCATCTGACCAGAGCACCTTCTTCCACATGTTTGCTGTGTCCCCCACATG